TTTAAGTAAAAAATTTATGCAGAATTGCAAATAAATAAATTGAAATTCTAGTAAGTTCAGAAGAACAAGCTCTGTAATAAGGTAAGATCCATGTAGCAACAATAAATCCAATGTGGGTCATGCTACAAGTCTTGCTTGATTTCTGTGGCCAATTATAGCATACTCGCTAGTCGCTACATTGAAGCTACCAATACTCTCGCTAAACTCTTCAATGAAAACAAAAGTCCACAAGAGATATCTGCAACACTCATATCCATACTAATTGTGTATATATATGTATACTAAAACATCAATCAATCAACGGTGACAATCAATAAGCGGCAAACACACACAGATAGAGAGGGAGAGAGAGGGGATTACGAGAGCAGGGGGAGGCAGAGGGAGAGTGGTGACTTCGGATTCGTGAAGATGAATCTGTAGTGGAATTGCTCCTTCCCAAACATACTTCTGTGCTTCTGTGCCTTTACTGATTTCCATTGTTTATGAGCTAAAAGCCTTAAAACTGAGCAACAATTAGCGCCAGGCACAATGCTCAAGACTCAAAGACTCGAAAGATTCCCCAAACTCTCTCTGTCTTTTCTCTTTCCTTTGCTTCGGAGATCAAAGGTTTCGTGAGGTGGAAGAGAAGATCGATTGAATAATGGGCCGTCTTTCTTTCTCTTTCGACTAAACTTTAGTTCCGGTTTTAAGGCAAATTATGCTATGGAACCGTGTCCAATATGTGCACGGTGGATATACTATACATTCATAATTTTTATATTGTAAATTCATAATTTTTAAATTGTAAATTCATAAAATTTATAATGTAGATTCATAATTTTTATATTGCACATTCATAATTTCTGTACTGTAAATTCATAATTTCGGTAATGTAGATTTATAATTTCTAAACTGTATAGTTATCAAATTATGAACACATAGTTATCAAATTATGAATCTACAGTATATAAATTATGAATGTGCAGTATAGAAATTATGAATCTACATTATAAAAATTATGAATCTATAATACATAAATTATGAATGTGTAGTATAGAAATTATGAATCTACAGTACAGAAAGTATGAATGTGCAGTATAGAAATTATGAATCTACCGTATAAAAATTATGAATCTACAATATAGAAATTATGAATGTACAGCGTGTCCACATGCACATGGTGAACACAGGTCCAAAGCATAACGCTCCCGATTTTAATGGCCCCAAGTAGGGTGCGGGCCAGCCCGTCCAACCGCGGCTTGGAAACACACAGCTCAAGCCCGCCCCCATGCGGGCTGGCTGGCGGGCCTCCCATTAAATTTTTTTAAAAAAAAAATAAGAAATAAAAATCAAGTAGTATGAAGTAGTTAATGACAATAACACATAGTAAGCTCAAACAATATTTGGACAGAAAAGCATCTCTAAATTAACTAATTATACAATACAGTACACAAAATAGTTAATGACAATAACACATAGTAAGCTCAAACAATATTTGGACAGAAAAGCATGTCTAAATTAACTAATTATACAATACAGTACACAAAACATTAATTTTTAGATATTATATTATATATCAATATTAAAAAAAATGTTGGATGATATCAGGTTTCGACCCTCTTAAATACTAATAGTATAAATTTAGCTAGTTGATAATCAAGTCCAGGTATGTAAAATGATGATGAATGGTATGTTTGTAGGAAAATTTATGTATTTGATACCTTTTTTCTTCTGTTGAGAGGGGGATACCCGTCAAAAAACTCAGAGAAACAAACAATCACAAGTGAGAGACCCGTCTAATTGACGACGCTCCGATCCGGTCTAACTCGATCAACTCCTCCATCTCGCGCGGCGGTCTATCAAGAATGACGATTCCGCCTTGATGCGCCGCCGCCTTGTGAGCTAGCCTGTCCGCAAGTCTATTCTGCTCTCTGTATATGTGAACGTACCTCACCTCGGAGAAAACTGCTGCTTCTCGGTGGCACATGCAGAGGATGTTGTTTGACATGTCCCTCCACCCTTCGCCATTACGAAGACTGTCCAACAGGTTTTTTGAATCGCACTCAAGGACGACGCGTCTGGCTCCATACTCGTGTATATATCATATTATATTTTTATATGTATTTATTTATATATAACTAGAGTTTTATATTTTTTAAGCTAATTTATTATCCTATGCATTTATAGACTGTATTTTGATAAAAATAAAGGGTTAAGTTATTTACCTATTGTCATGAACTTAAAAGAAGCAAATGGTGTGTTTGATTCGCATATGAGAATCGAAATCAGAATCAGAAAGAATATCAAATATTTGATAATGTCGTAATGGTAATGAGTTTTGGTGAAAGTATTTTGCATATTTGGTAGTATGGTGGAATGAAAATTATTAGACTGAGAATGAATAATGAAATGAAATCCTTTTATTAGGAAATGAGTTTTTAATGTTACTCCAAATTTTGTACTTTTAAAATCAATAAAATTTCTTTTGCTTCTCATATATGATAAAATGATGACTCATGAATTTTCCAAACCTTCGAAAGTACATAGATATTGTTGACCTCCTAGTCTTTGAGCTGTGTCTCTTGGTGTTAAGCTGCAAAAGTTGCTTTATTTTGTTGGAAAAAGTGTCAAATTGGCTTCCTAAGTCGATCGGATAGTGCAATTGAGTCCCCTAACTAAAAAAATGTCCATTCAGATCCCCTAAACCTGTTAAATTGTTTAATTAAGTCCAAAGTGACTTGTTTAACAGGTTAAATCTTCACATGGTTGACACATGTCATTTTAAAATATATTTTTTTGTTTTTTGTTTTTTTTAATGATTTATTTATTTATTAAAATATATATTATATATATAAAAAATAAAATAAATAAATAAATAAAACACAGCCACTTAATCAACTTTGTGCGTTTTCAAAAATAAAAAACAGCTTTGTTTTTGTTTTTTTTTTTTAAATTTTAATTTATTTTTTTATATGTAATATATATTTTAATAAATAAATAAATCATTTAAAAAAAAACCAAAAAAAAAAATTTAAAGTGACACGTGTCAATTGAAGCATGTGCTCCATCTCAACTAAAAGCTTAAGCTGATAGTTGAATTGCACATTAATGACTATATGCTCACAGTGTCAACAATGTGAAGATTTAACCTGTTAAACAAGTCACCTTGGACTTAATTGAACAATTTTACAGGTTTAGGGGATTTCAATGGAGTTTTTTTTAATTAGGGAAACCAATTGCACTATCCGGTCAACTTAGGGGGCCAATTTGACACTTTTCCCTATTTTGTTAGATTAGCATTTGCTTGTTGTTCATGTATTTTACTTGCGGGAAAATAATGGTAATATCTATGTATGATAACTGTAGTTCCATAATCTATAATAATTACTCGTACTATTTACTTAGGGATAAGAAATCACATCAGAAACAAGAGATGCATACAATTTTTGGCTAATCAAGACTTGAGATACATTGTGAATCAACTACAATCAACATAAACTACGCCCAATGATGAAGTTTCTCTAATTACATTAACTCTCCTTTTTTCTGGGCTCTACCAAATTAAAGAGCAAACAAAATTTTCCTCAAAAGACCAATTGTTTGATGCAATTCTAGGATGAGGCTTCACTTCTAAGCTTCAAACTGTTTGCCTTCAAAGGTCTGCCCATAATTCCAGTTCTTGGGAGCAACATTGTAAGATGTCAGGGTCACACGATCGCTGCTAGTTATCTCGAACGATAATGGTTGACTCCTCAAGTTTGCATTTATGTGCCAATTTTGGCCCCAATTCCTACCCATTGGAAGCCATCCTGTTCTTGAACCCTTAATTTTCACTGCAATTATATCGCCAGTTCCGGCAACATTTCTGATTAGCACTGAGATAAATATCCCTGCACCACTAACAGTGAACCTCACTCCTCCTTCCTTCCTGCACTTTATTCTGTTTGAAATCAACAAAAAACTTATATGATTTACATTCTGTCCAAAAAGGTTTGTGACATGAGAATAACATATATTACTGCATAGATACAATTGAAGCATGTGTTCTAACTCAACTAAAAACTTAAACTGATAGTTGGATTGAACATTAATGGTTATATACTGGTGTTACAAAAGCCATTAATGACATCCAAGCATGCATCTAGTTCATCAAAGCTAATAACAGAGTGATTGCAGAAATACAGTAAGAACATTAGAACAATAGTAAATTGAAACGACGGAAAACGAACCTGCGATACTGAATGGGCATATTGGAAGCTTTCCAGATGGCAATTTTCTCGAAGGCTTCAATGGGGAGCACGAAATGGGCATTGGGAGGGTTACAGTGGCCGCCGCCGTCGGGCTCGAAGCCGTAGTTGGGAGCGCAGAAATTGGTAGCGGTTACAATGATGGAAGTGCCGGGAATGCACCACCGGAGATCCTCCACGCACCTGACCTCGAAGCACGCGCCGCAGATCTGACCCCTCTCGAACAGAACCGTGCTCAGCCCCGCCGTGGCCTTCCCGTACCCGCTCTGCTCCAAATCCCCATACCCGCAGGCCCCGCCCACCGCGTCCCGGGGATCCGCAGGGGCGTAGTAGGTGGCGCGCGCCGGCCGCCACTCCGATTGCAAGGACGCCGCCGCCGCGGAGGAGGTCGGCGACCAGCCGTCGTGGGAAAAAACCAACGACGTCTTAGAAAAGAGTGTTAACGCAAGGAGATACAGTAATAAAAGTACAGTACTATCCGGCATACTCGAAGCTAGCATTAGCAGTATCTATAGGTGAGAGTGGTTATCTTCAACCTCAGTTCTCTGCAACTCTGCTATGGTGCTGCGGTCAATGGGAGAAGCCTAGAAGCTATAACCGGTTTGCTTTTCGCAGAAGCCGATGAAAATGGAGTCGTTTCAGAAAAGCAAACGGATTGATGATGATTGTTACTACTTTTGTAGCCTAGAACAGTTAAAAAGTAAGCAAATCACGCGGTTGTGGGGTACATTAAACCAAACCCTAGGGCTCCAGCAGGGCCCAATCATTGAATTCAAATTCAAATATTCAAAGGAAAGTATGATAATATGATATTCGATTTAGTCTGAAACAGAGAACAATCTGAAGAAATGCAGAGAATATGAATTATGAAGAAAAACACTAAATCATTCCAAATCGGAGCAATCCAAAGCGGTTTTGATCTTCTGAACGGTGGAGCTAATGAGGGCGTGCACGGTGGCCACGCAGTCCATGTTGACCTGCTTTGAGAGAGAGCCGTTGCTTATCAATATCTGGAACGCCACGGTCAACAGGGACCCACCTTGTCCCTTTTTACTGCTCGACGTTGAGCTTCTCTTTTCCAGACGACCGTCGCCGCTGATCACAAACCCCGACGGGAGCATCGGAAATTTGATCGGATCATCGCCGTTCATGGTGGCGGTGATGACCGGGAGGTCCATCGGAGCGTACACCACATGACCTTCCAACGAGTTAACGCAGTTCTCTTGCAGCATCAGCATGCTGCTTTCTTTCGAAACATAAGGCTGCAAATTTATGTTAGTAAAAATTGAAGAATGTGCTCCATCTCAACTAAAAAACACAAAGATTGTGATCTACCTGAATAATGGAGACACAGTTTCCGGGATGATTTCCGGTAGGGATGCGGGCGACCTCGGTGACGGGGTAGCCATTAGAAAGAACGTCCCAGTGAGCTCTTAACTGATCATCTCTGAAGAAATTGAAGAGATGGTCCAAGGGAAGAGGAAGCCAGAGAGACGAAGCAGCGCAGACGATCAATGCGTCTGCAGATTGGGCTGTTTCGCCGGCGCTTTTGCGAATCGAAATCCTGACGCCGCTATTGTTCATCTCCGACGATTGAGGGAAATCTACTCTTTCACCCATGTTCAGTACCTCGCAGAAGCTCTTCACCATCCTCTGTGATAACTGCATCACGCTCCTCCTTCCTTGAGGCTCATTAATCACTGCATGCATGCCCACCAGTCCACCACCAAACAATTCAAAATTTTTAGTGTCACTATTTGAGGGTAAGCACAGATAAATCACTGTGTCGGGTATTGTGACCTTAGTTGACACGTAAATTAGTCTAAATTATTCATAGTTGATTGACTGTCTCAAATCAAGAAGGTCAATAAGTTACTTCCAATAACTTGTATCCTTCCAATGACTAAGTCAATAGTCTGGCCGCCATAACTACCAAGCAGGCAAATAGGTTACTCCCCATAACCAGCTTAGTTGACATGAGTAGCACTGCACTCTTGTCCCTTAAAAGGTCCAGAGTTTGAATCCCCTCTGGTATGAAAAAATCAATATGATCAACACTTTGCCCCTTAATTGGGCTTACCAGGTGCGAACGGAGATTAGTCTGAGTATGGTACGGACTTAAAGTGCCTCCTACAATTATGGTCTGCCACCTCTGTGGTCACTTATAACCTTCTGATTACTAAGTCAATTCACTGTCTGACCGATTTAGCTGGATTGGTCCCCTAATATTACACATATGATCTATACATTATATTATTATATGCTCAACATATATACCTCCTTCAAGTTCATGTTTAGCGGTAGGTGCACCCCTTAATCCCATGGAGAATGCATAACGTTCACACATTCTTTGAAGTGTAACGATCCATCGGTTCGCTCCATAGGCTTGACTGCCGCAGATTAAATCTCTATACAGGCGATGAGTTTGTGCTTTATCATCCACTTGAACATGTTCAATCCATGTAACCTACAAAAACATTTATATATATATCAAATCAGATCACCATTATGTGTTCCCAAAATATATATATATATATATATATATATATATATATATATATATATATATATATATATATATATATATAGATGCAGAAGGAACCTTGGATTTGCCATTATGCAGATCTTGAATCAAGCATCCAGAGGGAAGCCTCCAGGAGTAAGATGGAGCAAAACCCTCGTTCTCTTTGAAGCAATCATATGAAACATGAACCATTAACCATGCGCTTGAATCCAGTTGTCGGCAATAACGTAAGAAAATGAAGTCTCGAGGCGCCACCATCGGTGATAGAATGTGCATTTTCTCATACATCTGTCACAGCAGCATAGTTTTATAATTTGAAACAGAAGCTGGCATAAACAACTCAGTTGGTCACTGGGGAAGAATAATTTGAAATAGAAGAAGTTATGCAATTTCCGACCACCTGAAAGTGATCATAAATTAAGTCGAAAGCAAAAAGTGGTCGGAAATAGCAACAAAAGTTTTTTCCGTATACCAAAAATGACTTTGGACTTAATTTAAGATCACTTTCAGGTGGTCGGAAATTCCATAATTTCCGGCAGTGATATATTTAATTTACCAATTGTAAGGAGCCTCCTAGCATTCCAGAATCAAGAACTTCAATGACCCTAGCCGTTGCCACAATTGTTGGGAAGGAATCCATCCATTTACTCTACACAATCAAATTAAACTTCAAAATACAGTTTCCAGTTGAAAATGAGCTCTGAAGATGGACGGAAAGAGGTCGGAATAAGATAAGTAACGAACTTAACTGGATCAAGACACATGTCGATGAGTTCAGCCGGGTTGGCGGCGACAACGCCGGAATCCTTGGATGATTCCGTCCTAGTACTGACGCTTCTCAGGTAATTCACCTTGGGGAAAACTCTGTCGTAGGTTTCGCGATGGAGAACTAATCGCCCCTCTTCGGGGGTTCGTATCCACAGGGGTTCATCCGCTTGCAGAAGCTCAATAACCTCTTCCATGGCGGCCGCCATTGTTTCAATCATCACGCTTTTCTCCATCTCTTGCACTCCTCCACCCAGCGTCAACGGCTGCGATGAAACCACCGCCGGATTATTGTTATTATTCCGAGGAATAATATTCCGGTGGACGTTCTCCATCTGATCAACGGGAGGTGATGAGCCGTCGCCGCCTAATAACCCTCCGGCCAGCAGGTAGTTGCTTTCTTCATGCAAAACTCCACTACAAGGTGGCGCCACCACCATGGATCTTCCCATCAGATTGGAAATCATTGCTGATAATCTCTCGTGCTAAAAACATTAAACTTCCAAATCAAAAACTAAAAACAAAAGATTCTCAATCAAAGTGTTGAAAAGAAAATGAATTGAATTGAAGAACCTCTTCCTTGAGCTGTGCATTCTCCATTCTCAGAATTTGCAGACCGCGTTTTCTCTCTTCTTCTCCGAGACCAGGACCGTCGCAGTTTAGGCAGACGACGTTCTTCAGCGCCTCCCTCATCGCCAGATTCTCACAGTGAATTCTTTCATTTTCTGTTCGAAGTGCACTGTTATCTGCCCTCTCACCCTGAGCCTGCATTATATTCAAACATATATTGAATTTCCATTTTTTTAAAAAGAAAACATGAATTTATAAGTGTTAACGGGCGGGTCCTGTTTTACCGCTCTTACTTTCTTTCTTAGTTTGTCTCAAAATATTGTCTCCAAAATTCAACATCATCATCATTCTATAATCTATATTTCCCAATTTAGGGTTATAAGTTTTGCATTCTTTGTATTATATTTTCAAAAGTGAGAAAAGTGAGAGGTATAATTGGGTAAAGCAATATTTATTTTAGTTTCCTAAAAAGTGTGTAAAAAGTAAATGTGACAACCAAATCGGGATAAAATGAGTAATACATAAAAGCGCAAATATTAATTTTGGTCCCATGAGTATTAGTAAAATGACAGTTTTGGTCCATATGTTTAATTCCTACCAATTTTTATCCACGACTATTGTTTTAGTGCCAAAATTCATCACGTCGGTCACTCCTTCATTTAAGACATGTCGAAATAAGAAATTATTAAGGATATTTTCGTCATTTTCAAATTAAGATACCAATTTGAGCATGAATAAATGGATTTAATCCCTAAGACCAATCCCAATTCGCAGTTCCCCTTCTCAAATTAAGGTAGGATGATGATGAGAACTACGAATTGGGTTCGATTTTAGGGCTTAAACCCTTTATTCATACTCAAATTAGGATCTTAAGTTGAAAAGGATGAAAATACCTTTAAAATTTAGATTTCGGCATGGTTTAAACGGAGGGGTGACAGTCGTGATGAATTTTGGCAGTAAAATAATAATCGTAGATAAAAATTGGTACTAAAACAATAGTTGTGGATAAAAATTGATAGAGATTAAACATGTGAACTAAAATTGTCATTTTATATTAATACTTGTAGGACCAAAATTGATATTTACTCTTAAATATTTAGTAGAGACAAGTATGATATATACCTTTGTTTGTGTCCTTTTGTTTTGGAACCAAAATTTGATCTGCTTAGGCTCCAATCCTAGTTCCCTACTCAGTTGTCGTCGCTGGTTCTCATCTGGATGTGGGCAATCCTTGAAAAACCTTCATTCATATCAGCCAATTAATCATATTTTTTAAGAATTAATTAACTAACACAAAATCATCAAAACCAGTAAATGTGAAATTAATCATATCAAATTAGATTAATAGATTGCTATAATTTTTTTTATATTAATTAATTACAGTTAATAACAAGCACTCATCTCAATAAATCAAACAAAAACCTATGTAGACAAAGACCATACAACGCAAGCATACTGGACATTAATTTTAATTAGTTAGTCAGGACTTGATCCAACCCCTAATCTTAAAATCAATAATGGCACAATGCCCCTAAAGGTCTGAATATTTTTCTCGTAATTAATCATTTTTTTGTCAAATTTAACCAATTTGCTATCAATTTCAAATAATTCTAGAGCAGAATGAATAGATATGTGTGTAAGCAAGAGACTTATGTTCGATTCAACTTCTATCTCGACATGTTTACATGAATGACTGAAAACAACAACAAAAATGAGAGTAAAATGAACAAATATGTGTAAACATATAAGAACTTATGTTCGATTAAACTCGTACATCTATCAGTCAATTTTTTGCAAAAAGACCAGAATAAGAGTAAAATCATACCCTTCGAGTTGCTGAATTTGTTGGGACGTATGGCGATGATAATGCTTCTTGCCTCTTCTAGAGCTGGAACTATCCTGATCATTATCATCTCCAGATCCATTTCCTCTGTACCCAGAATCCATCTCTTTCACTCAAAGGATACCAATTCAATCAAGCAAAGCAAAACTATGATCTTTTCTTTAATTATCAGAGAGAATATAATGATATGATGTTACAAAAGAGTATAAACAACGTAACAACAATAAGGCCAGGGGATAGAAGAAAATAGAATTCAGTGTATATAAGTCATATTTCACCAAGGATGCAGGCTTCTTAAATGAATTTTGATCTGTGGATTTCATGGGATCATTTGGTAAAGATTTATAGTAATTGGCTTCATGTTTTTTTGGTAATCATAGTTGGTGTGTAACAGTTGGAGATTATTGTAAATAAAATGCGGGATATCAAGAAGAATCACGGGTTTGATTCATAGACAAAATAATAATAATTCAAGCGGGATGGAACAAGTTAGCTATCTCTAAATTCCGGATTCAAACATCGTACATGAAATAGCAGATGTTGTCAAAGTTTCTTCCGTAATATATAGCTCGACTCCTTACAAAAATAATACATGAATTAATAAACAAATTAATTAATCTTAAACTCTTAACTCTTCTTTTTATATAAAGTTTCAAATAAAATTAATAGCATTGGACTACAAGATTCTTAATAATGATTAATTATTTAATTAGATGGAGAGATACAAATTCATAATTTCTGTCGAAATATTTTATTTAAAAAATTAATTGCATTAAGCAATCGCATTGGCGGCATAGCTTTGCATTATTACTCTCCTTTCCTAATTAGGCAGTGGAAATTCAAGATCTATTCATATCTGATCTTTTAGGAATTTATTAGTATTTTCCTTAACCATATAGGCAATATATTCATTTTTAGATAATTTGCATTTAATTTGTTCTTTTATAATGTTATACCTTATATAATTATGTCTTTTAAAAGTTTAATTTGGTATCATAATTGATACTTAAAATGGTCATTGACTATATCGTAATTTTCAAATTAATCCCCAACTATTAATTCTCTCAAAATGATTCCTCGACTATAACAAAAATTTACTCGTTTTAATCTTTTGTTATTTACACTGAGGATTAAATTGAATAAAAAAATTTCATAGTTAATGAATTATTTTAAGTGAATTGGTAGTCAATGACTATTTTGAGAATTATGACATAGTCGATAAGTCGATAAACTATTTTAGATATTATCTCTTGATATTATTCCACCAAAGTCGCCTTCTAGGTGAGAGTTACATTTAATTCTTGTAATTATATTGGTGATAATTAACACATTTGTCGATTATATTATAATATAAGATAATACAATTTATACTTATTGTTTTTAGAAAAATAAATAATAATTATATACATTATACAAAAATAGAAATGTGTGGTTGCATTCTTATAAATTACAATTAATGTTGACAGGTTTAGTCAACTTATGCAAATTATTTTGTGGGCTCATGTCTAAAAATACACAAATTACATACTGAATGTTTACAATTTTATCTACTAAATATTCACAATTTATATACTAAATATTCACAATACAAATTGTAAACATTCAGTATATAAATTGTGTATTTTGAACTTAGATCTACCTTGCAAGGTGAATTCCGATCCATAATATAACTGATGGTCAACCTACAAATGGACCAGTGGTGTATTACTTTTTTTTTGTATGTAATGGATTAACAGGATTACATTTGTTAATATTTAATTAATAAAAGTAGTTGTTTACAATCACCAATTTTATTGTTTTAGTGATTGAAAATAATCCAAGTACAAATTTCTATAGCAAAGGCATAACATTACAAACGTACATTAAGATTCAAATACGAGTACAATATGAAAAATACAATTTATATGTGTATTTTTTTCTGGAATATTAAGAGTTTATTAAATAAAATTAGTTCTTTAATGCGCTTTGCGTGAATGGAATAATGCCTAATAATTATTTTTAAATAAGTATTTTAAACTATATCAATGCAATATTATATCGGATGTTCATGCATAGGTAAATAAATATTGAATTTGTTTATTTAAATTGGTAATTTAAAGTATATAAATTCAAGATAATATATGAAAGGTTGATTATATTATCACTAAAATAAATGTTTGCAACTTTGTAATAATGCTAGTCTAAATATTTAGTCTAAAAACAATAGTATGAATAAAAACTACTTTTGGTTTAAATTTCTCTAATTCTTCTTAGTTCTCTTTTGGGTAGCATTGTCATTGTCTTCATCTTCAGTACATGTCCTCTTTTTTTTTTTTTTTTTTTTTTTTTTTTTTTTTTTTATTGGTAGTGTGTCATGTGCAATTGGGTTACTGGTGGTAGCATAGATGGATTCATCATGCAATGAGATTATGGTGTAGGAAGTTTTAGATTTGTAGTTAGGTTGCACAGGTTTGACAATGATGTAAGAACAATTTCGTCCGATAAAAAAAGTAATAGTATAATATTTGTAAAAGTAATGTACAATTGTACCATTATAAAAATACATACAAAAAATACTAATACTATAACGACCTAAGTCATACCAATAATGCAAAAATATAATTGAAATATTAAGTTTTGTTCTAATCTAAATAATTAGAAGAAGATTAATTAAATGAAAAAAAAAAACTTAACCTAAATTTGTTTTTTTTTTTAAATGCATAAAAATCAAATGATTTTAAAAGTTATTGATTTATAATCTTTGATGCTTAACTTTTAATGTTATGTATTTAGTTGGACTAATTATTTGACCAAAATTTATGTTAAATTTTATATTATATATTTATTAAATACATTTTAACATATTCGTAGTATATATATATATATATATATATATATATATATATATAATAGAGGGTAGATAAGAAAAATTATTAAAAAATGTTAAAAACAAAATAATATGAACCATTCATTTTAAGAAACAATACTACAGACATTTTTTTTTTTGTTTCATTTAAGAGCATAATATTATTGACTCTTATTAGAATGGTAGATAATAATTCGTTTCAACATAACTGAGATGAAGTCTCGTCTCTCATATATGGTGATGACAACTCCAAGCTTGAGCAATCGTTATGCTATGGACCGGTGTCCAGCATGCAACGGCACCATTCTCTTCCACTTTTTTTTTTTTTTAAAAATAAATAAATAAATAAAATCAGACCACTTTGTTATAGGAGTATATGTTCATAATTTTATCACTATATATTCATAATTGTAAGTTCATAATGTCAGAGTTCTGTGTTCATAATTGCATAACTGTACATTCATAATTGCATAAATGTACATTCATAATTGCATAACTGTACATTCATAATTCCGTAACTGTAAATTCATAATTTTCGAAACTCTATGTTCACAATTTTAGAGCTCTATGTTCATAAGTTTATCACTATATGTTCATAATTGTAAGTTCCTAATGTCAGAGTTCTGTGTTCATAATTCCATAACTTACATTCATAATTCCATAACTGTACATTCATAATTGCATAACTGTTCATTCATAATTCCATAATTGTACATTCATAATGCCACAAACAAATAACGTCGTTAACAGCGAGACAAAATCAAAATTTTTTTTTAACTAAAAGGCCACGTTTTCCCTTAAAACAATATCGTTTTGGACTCGTGTCCACAATGCATTGTGGACACGAGTCCACAGCATAATTTGTCAAGCTTGAGCATGTCATTTGAAATACATGACAACAAACTTGGACTACCAGATATGGGCCATTAAGTTGGATTTGATATACCAATATTGTTGGGTTGGGTCAGACCATAACCCAATATTTTATCATATGTAAAAGTCGGCAATTTATATCCTGCATCAGGGCGTGCATTGTATTGTGTGCCCTTATGCAAAACGATATCGTTTTAATTTTTTTTTATTGAAATTTCGTTATCCTGTGTTGGCGGTTAATTTTCTTTTAAAAAAATCTCATGTTCAAAAATGTACATAATTGTATACTAGAGTACACAGAATTGTATAACAAAATACACATACTTTTTTTAAAAAGATAATACATATAATCTAACATCTAACATAATACATAATATACATAAACTTTTAACATAATAAACATCAACTCTTAACATAATACACATAAATTTCCTGTATCGGAGGTACATAATTGTATAAAAAAGATGTACATGATTGTATAAAAAATGTACATAATTGTATAAACAAATACATATAATTGTATAAACAAATACACATAATTTATAAACAAATGCACATAATCACGTCAATTCCCTACATAACTTACCAAAACGACGTCGTTTTGGAAGGCGCGGGACACACAGTGCTATGCGCGCCGTGGTACAGAGTACAACGATTGGTAAAAGTCACTTTGAATATAAATAGATTTAATTGTACCTTCTTTTTTTTTTTTCCTAAAAGAGAGATAATTAACCATTAATATCAACAAAGGTTACATTTATAAGAAAAGCCAAAGGGCATAAGTGTCATTCCCCATGACCTGACATAGAAATGGCTTCTCTCACAAGAGCGTTAGTAGCATAATTGATGGTCCCGATTGTAAAGTAAAAGTCTAAAGGGGTAGGGATAGGGAGGAGGGGAGGAGGTGAATAGATTTTTAAAGTTTAAAATTCTTTGCAAATTATCTTAAATGTTGATTGCCAAAGGTCTTGTGGTCGAGCGGCATAACTGTGGATCCTCAAATGAGAGGTCTCAAGTTCAAACCCTAGTGCGGGGATATTGACTCTTTGTGAGTTAGTATGTTTGAACATATACTACATTTTAGGTTATAGTCACAATAGCTTTATTTTTGGTAAATGTAGGGATCCATTATTTTTGGCATTTTGATTTTGATCAAAAGTCAAAATTGTTATTTGGTAATTCAAAAGTTTGGAGCAATGTTTTGCTCCAACCTCTAGCAGCATCTGGGGGTTGACATTTTGGAAAAAGAAAATTCTTTATCCAAAACACCATTCAATTTATAAAAAAAAAAAAAAAAAATACTACATTTACGGGGCGTTTGGTTGGAAGGAGAGAATTACATGGGAAAGGAATTGCAATTCTAGGAGAAATGAATTACTGGGAATA